GCGGCTCCTCTCAAATCCAGCATGTAATAACCCACAAGTTCACTTCCACCATTTGAATTAACCGAGAAACATTGCAACTTTAGATGCGCCCATTGCGACCGAAGTGTGTGCAAGGTTTTTTGATCTACCTCCCATGCAAGCTCCGTATCCCATATCGGAAATGATACTTGTTCCACTTTGTCGGTCGATAATATGGAATTCGAGTCGGGGCTAATCGTCGAAAGAACATCGTCGGTGAATCTGCACTCAACGTATAATTTCGCGTCAGGATTGTGGGCAAAGTACCGGCCTATTGTGAAATATGCATTTACGATCAGAAAAGGGAGTGTTAAGAAGAATGACTTGGAAGAAATTAAGAAACTGACCGCCTATCACCGTAACAATGATTGTGTACAAAGGGTTGAATTTTGACATAATTCAAGTACTGCGAGGAAAAGCGAATCCTTTAATAAAATACATGCAGTGTCATGAGATACAAGGTTAACTTTATACAGCATGTCACGCGAATTTCATTTGGAATTTAGTTGAACAACCAGTTTTATTATACGCCACAAGTCACCGCCTCTTGCCGAGCCACTGGTAAAATCTTTAAAAATCTTTGTTTGTTCGGAGATCATGTGCATGTAACATACATAGATTAATATTGTGCTTGGGAACTAACCAAAAATAAACAAAACATATAGATATAAGTATATATATCTATTTTTTTTAGATATATGCTATATATGCGTGTGTGAGAACGATATAATTCTCTCTCACTGTCTATCAGAACATTGAATTATTTAATCCTATATTGACAATTAGAATGTCGTCTTTTCGCTTTGCTCGGACTTTTTCCTCGCGTGCCAACGTGCAACGTGCCTCAGCCTTTTTCCTTGGTTCTACGGCAGTTATGGTACCGCTTCGCAACCGTGTTATTCCCACTCTCCCTCGTACTTATTCTACCGCGACACCAGAAAAAAAAGGCGGTAATGGAATGCTACTTTTAATTGGAGCAGCTCTTATTGGTGGAGGTGCCGGCTACTATTTTTATGCCAACGACACCGCCAAAGTTACCGAGAAAGACGAAAAAGTCGTTAAGAAAGGTCTTGATTATCAATCAGTCTATAACCAAATTGCAGATATTCTTGAAGATAATGATTATGATGATGGTTCGTATGGACCAATTTTA